AGGGCTTTTTTATTTGGTGTTTTTTTTTTTTTTTGGCTTGTTGGTTTATAAGTCAGAATGAGGGATCTCTGTGTTATCACTTGTGCTAAGAAAAAAACATTTTATTTTTTCCAGTGTTAATAGCAGTGTTGAAGTCTGTTAGATTCAACCTCTGTGATTAACTGCCATTCACCATACGCAGTGTGATGTTTATACGACTCGGTCTGTCTAATCTCAACCAAAGCTTTTTGAGGCTTTGAACTTTGCCTTGGAATGGTCTTACTTTACCCATTTAAATTTAATAAATTTTAGCTAACTTATTGGGGACAGATCTTTATATCCATCATGAATAGCCTTTTCTTAAAGTCAAATTAATAAACCCCTGAGAGCAAACATAGAAATGAGAAGTCTGTAATTTTATCCACCCTGTTAGTAAAAGTTGTTTTTTGCACATTAATCCCAGTTGTTTCACTCGTTCTGTACTCTGGTTTTAATTAAACAAAAGGTTTTAATGGATAAAGATATCTGATTACCAGCTCATGTAAGCTTTATGAAAATTGAGTACATTGTTAAGTGCAATTGTGGTACAATGATGTTTAAATAACACCAATGTAAGCAGCAGCTCACTAAAGGAATATTGCGATGAAAAAGATGAATTATTCTCCTGAACAAGTTGAAAAATAATCTTAAACAGAGCAGCCTTTTGACTATTGATGTATTATTTCATGCATAATTTTTCTGAATATAAAAGTTTTACACTTAGAGTAGCCTTTGTTTTCATTTGATTCTGTTACAGTTTTCTCTGATGAAAAGAAGTACTGTCTTCTATTCCTCATCCTTATGTAATTGTAACATACCTTTTTTATTATGAAATTTGTCATCTTTGCTCCACTTTCTATGTCGTAAGAGGGAGAGATAGTATTTCTCTATCATGTATTCTCTGTTTCTTCCCTCACCTTTGGAGTACCCATGACCTGAACAGAAGGGAGAGAGACTTTGTTGGTCTGGTGACTACTTTAGATGAATTGCTACCATACTGGCTCTTTGGATCTAATGCTCCTTTGTGCCACCCTGAAGAAATGTCAACAAAATGTAAGACGAGTCTCAGAGGCTTTTTGCCCTTGTTGGCAGACTACCCAAATAAAGAACTTTCATAAATGAAAGAATGAAGTAGGCTTGGAACCACATTGTTCATTTCCTCTCTTTTGCAAAGACCTCTTTAAATCAAGTTTCTGCTCCATCTGGCAGAAGACTGGGCTTCTTCACTTTTTCTAGTAGAATGTATAATTCCATGGCCAAGTTTTGTAGACTGAACGCTTTTGAAATTCATAGATGAAGAAGAAAAAGAAGGCAACACTAAGTTCATACGTTAATGTTCATACGTTAATGTCCTTTTACTGTTGAAGGTGTTTAAGTTCATTGTACCTGAAGATATTTGACTTCGTCCAGTTCTCTAAATTGTCATCTCAGTTATTTGTGGTTGTTGGTAAGTGCTGCCAAGTCAGTTCCAATTCATACCCACCCTGTATAGAATTTCCAAGGAACGGCTGTGGTGGGTTTGAACCACTGACCTTGCAATAAGCAGTCCAGTGCTTATCCTATAGTGCCCACCAGGACTTTAGATGCTTCAAAATTACTAAACACAGTATAGGTAAGTAAATGGTGACTTTGGCAGGTGATTTTTGGTTTTGTTTTGTGGAGATGGAGGCATGTTGTTTGTTTTGATTTGATTTGGGACAAAAGGTGAAAGATTGTGGTTATACTCATAATGAATAATAGATGGATCCTTTCTGTATTTGACAAAGTATACTAAATTAAGAGCTGCTCTTAAAATGGTCTTACTAAGGGTTTTTAATTTTGTGTGGCTGTGGTAATCACTTGGGCATAAAATAATGCTTTTAGACTTCAGAGGTTGAGCTTTATGTGGTACAGAGAATTTCATGCTCCTGAAGGATTAGCATTTCTTATGTAATTATTTCATCCCACAATGTTATGGCACTTTTTAGAGTTTGTTTTTTAGGCAGATAGTGTTTATATTTTTTAAATGTAGGCTCAAAAGAAATCATTTTTTAACTAGCTAAAAGCAGCCTTTTTTGCCTCCAATTTCACTTCCCCATGGTATTGATTTGTATGGTTGGAGAAGGGAAAAAAAATTTTGATGAGTGAGATGCAAGAAGATGAATTAACATGAAGGAAAGTAGCAAGAACTCGTAGTATCCTTGTACCATCAACAGCCCAGTCTTCTAGGTTACATATTGGTTTATTTTACTTGGGTTTTTGATGTCATTATGAGACTGAACTCTGCATTTACAAAAGATCATGTTTATTACTGTAGAAATATGTTTTTTCTGCAACTTAAAAAAATTGTTTACCTGTGGTAATGGTATGTTCAAAATTAAAATGTTGTACTCTGCACTTTCCCACCTCCACTTTAAACTTTACAGTTAAGACTTTTTAGAAAAGAATTCCAAGATGTGTTTTTTGTTTTGTTAATGTGTGAATAAAGTTTTATCTTTGTCTGAGAAGATACGGTCTTTTATTTTTGTTGTGTTTTTTCCCAGTAGGAGCTTTTCCAGAGCAGGCATTATTGATAAAGAAAATAATCCGTAAAGGTTTATTCTGACCAGCTGTAGTCATTGTGGGAAAAAGTCTCTCATCCTAGCTCCCTGACAGATTTTCAGTTTCCCAGTATAAGTATGATCGTTAACTGTTTAGTTACATAGGAACTCAAGACCAATTGGAAAAGCTCGTAAAGGCACCCTTGCCCCATTGTTCTTCTCATGGGGTAGTAGAACTGGGTTTGTTCTGGATTATATGGTTATGAACTTTTTTTCCTCCTGAGAAAACTTATTTTCTTATATAATGGGGAGCGTAATAACAGACTCTTTTTTGAATGTTTTGGTGTGGCAATATAGGATAAGCCCTAGACTGCTAACCACAAGATTGGTGGTTCGAACCCACAGTCACTGCTCGGAAACCCTTTTTTTTTTTTGTTTCCTTTCCTTTTTGAAATTGTCAAAAATTGTATTTTACATGGATCCACATCAACACCCATGGAGGCAGCAGTCAAGACATCAGATGACATATTGCACTAGGTAGATTTGCTGCAAAAGATCTTTCTATGGTGTGAAAAAGCAAAGAAGTCACTTGGAGGACTAAGGTGCACCTGACCCACACTATGGACCTTGGGAACTTCTTACAGTATCACTGTGAGTTGGTGGCTGTGTACAATAAGCAAACAACAAGGTTAGCAGTTCAAGCCCACCAACTGCTCCTCAGGAGAAAAGTGAGGCTTTCTGCCCCTGCAAAGATTTAAAACCTTGGAAAGCCTAACAGGGTTGCTATGAGTCAGAACTGACTTGATGGCACTTAACAATAACAGAAGTCCTGGTGTGGCACTGTGAGATAAAGCTCTGCACCACAAGTAGGTTTGAACTACAAGGTCGGCAGTTCTAACTCACCAACCACTCCTTGGAAACCCTATACAGGGTCGCTATGAGTCAGAACCAACTCAAAGTCACTTAACAACAATAACAACACAAGTCAGAAAGGACGCAGTGGCACTACAACAAAAGTTTTCTGTTAAGGTGTTTCAGTTGTGTAAACGGAACTATCAGGGACACAGCACTGGAGATTTCTCTCCTCTGTAACTGAACAAGTGACCAAAAAATATGTCTTACAATACAACATGTAAGCATTGAATGATAGAAATCTCTAAACAGCTAAGGAAAGAGCAAATCTTCCAATGTATGTCACAGGCCAGGAGTGAATATCTTTTATTTCTTTGTTCTGCTTTTGGATTGAAA